CCACTCAAACAGATCTTCTCCAGCTACATCTTTCTAAACCAGCTGTGGTAAATTTGGCTTAAGTGGAAAGCACAGATAGCAAGCCTAGGGCAGAGGGCTTTTTGACATCTGTAAATGCGTTATCCCAAAGGATTTGAAGGCAAGGTAATAAAAGTCCATTACCACAGAGATCCTGTAGCAGCACATCTGGAGCTCAGTCATTCTTCAGTAGCAGAAAATCAAGCTAATAAAACTTAAATATTGTTCTTTGACTTTAAATATCATTCAGTGGCTAAAAGCAGATTGTAGGAGCTGGCTGATGAGCTCATCCCAGATCAAGCCAGGATAATGGACAGCTAGGGTGGCTCTTCCCATTACCATCACTTCTCCCTTCTGGATGGCATCAGAGTCCCTCTGGCCTTGGTAACTGGGGTAAGTGGGCAAGGAGAATATCCACCTTGTATTCCCATGAAGGATGGAATTGGTCTATACCATCAGCCCTGCCAGGGCACTGGTGATGGTGTGCAGGTCTCCTAACAGACATGTAGATGCTGAGGAGGGACTTTAGGTGTTAGCAGTATTACACGAGGGCTTTGTAGAGGCCAGTGGTGCCTAGAGAATTAAGTCTAGTCCTTTGGGATCAATTAGCCAAGTTAACTAGAGCATCTGGAGAAATAACATGGGGACACCTGTACTGGTGATTTTGTTTCCAAAAGGTGCTGGTGAATTTGTGATCCACAGCCCTGGAGAACTGCTGAAACAGAGGCAGATTGTTTTCGAGCAGGCTCTGCTTGTTGGAGAGTGCAGGGGACCTGAATTGGTATGTTTGTGGGTAAAAGTACTGGGAAGGGATTAGGCAAAGAGAAATCAGGTATAAAACAGACACAAGGAAAAACAAACTCAGCAGAGCTACTTTCCTTCTCCCATTTTGAGAAACTGAGTGCTTGACCTCCTGATGTCTTCTGTGCTCTGCCATATGGCACAGGCTGATAGAAAGCTTCTGTTTCCCTGGTCACCCTGTTAGGTGGTGAAGGAAAGGATAGGAAAGGAAAGGGGAGTGAAGTTATGACAGCTTAATGAGGCTTCTGCAACACGGTTTGCTGGCGTGTCGAACTGTGTCTTGTAGAGTCTCAGGCTGCATGCTCAGCATCTGCTGGCAAGCGACTGAGGCCAGCATTCGAAATGGATGCTGGAGCTTGGGGACAGGCCATCCATCAACACTTCTGTCCACCTGGAGCCACCAAGCTGCACCATTACTGTATGATGAAACTACAGAAGGAACGAATGGAATAGGAGAGATAAGGAACTGGTCTCCAGTTTCTATACCAGTTTAGGAGAAAAGGAGAAGGAGGAAAAAAGCTTCCAGTGGTAGTTTGCTTTGAAAGAGAGTCTGAGGATTAACACATATCGTTACTGTAAATGCTGGGCTGAAGCCCTTCAGAGCCCAGAGAACATGCCCCCGCACAACACATCTCCCATGGTGTTTTGATTTCAACCTTAATTTGCTCATATAGGCAAGCCCCAGAAATTCTCTGGGTTACTCCGATTATGATCCTTGGACATTTTAGGTGAATATTTATTCCAGCCTACAAAAATGTACCAGTTCAAGAATAAGACTGACTTGCCCTTTGCCATGGTAACTGAGGAGATGGAAAACCAGGGCAGTGTATTTTCCCATACAAAGCATATTACTCATTGTAAGAAAACAGCAATTTGTCAGGCTGCTTTGTTCAGTCATAGGCTAGGCTCAACGGGCCAAATTTTGCACGTAGTTGCCTCCCAAGAGGAGCAAAATGCATGGTTTGGAGCTCTTGTTAAAGAGCTCAGTCATTTCATGTGTTTTAGGTGAAAGAGTAATGAATGGAGGTTTAGGCAGCAGGAAAATGCGGAAATTTATCCAGCTGTTTCAGAAAGGGCTTTTCTTCCTAAAATTGCCCAGAAGTCACACTTTATTTCAAAATACTGTAAGTGCTAACTCTGAAGCCTCTGACACACTCCTCGTTCATTACTAGGTGGCTATTATGAGACCAGGAGCCCTTTCTGCCGACTGTAGGGGTCTCCAGCTATAGAAATTTGACATCTGTTTGATATTATTATTCCATTAGAAGAGTAAATCTTCACTCCCCTGGCTTTCTTGTGGGCTCTGACACATTCCACTTCAGTGACAAATGTCCCTTGAGCTAGCAGTGATTTGACAGGGTGGGAGGCACTCCTGCAGAGGAACTGACAAATTGTTTCCATGAGAAGTTGAAGTACCCTCAGGAAGTAGACAGAATTTCTGCATGAACATCAAGCTGAAAAGGAAACCCCCAAATTGCAAGAGATTTGTGGCAACCCAAAAGGTTCCTTCCCAGATAACTGAATTTGCATATGACATTATAAAATTGCATAAGAAATTACAGCAGACCGAAGATCACAGCAGTTCGTACTCACAGGTTTCCTCACACGTGGAAGCAGGCTATAATAAAGCAGCATGCTCTTGACCTTCTGAACAATTTCTGCTTCCTTTCATAACAGAAGTGAGAGCTCCTACTGGGTTGCATCCAGTCATTCCAGTGGAAATTTGAGACCAAATGAATCTGTTTCATATAAGTTTGCCAAACCCAGGCTGATAGACGGATTATTCACCAGCCCAGAGCTCACAGAGGATCACACTCCAATAACGCTTTAAAGTATGCTGGTGGTCAGGATGATAACATAGGGTAATAGTTCCTTCACTCAGGGATCTCCAAATACTTTACAGATGTGAATGGAGAAGTGCAAAATGGAATTTCCCAGCCCCACTTTGCAGAGAACTTTTTCGGGGCTTACCGTGTTCAAGCAATTCATCCTGGCTAAGAGAAATAGAAAAGCTGGGACAGGGGCCCCAGGAACTTGATTCCCACTACTTGGATGAAAGCATTAGACATGACATCACCTCCTCACAAGATAAGAGTTCATTGTTTTGTGGCTGAGTGTCTTCTCCCTTCAATGTGGACATTAGCTCATGTAAACTAAACATAGGAAAATAACAGCCAATCCTTCCTCTCCAGCCACAAGCACAGAGAAGGCAAATTGTCTTTCTGGCCCTGTCACTGACATTGCAGGAGTAGTGGGTACAATGAGCTTTGCATTTAACACCACAAGCATAAATCTCAGAGCCAAATTTATGATGATTGAGACCATCATCTGGATTCTCATTCCATTGTTCCCGTTCTATCATCAACACCAACACCGCAATACCCCTGTGGTGTCCTGACCAGAAGGAAGTGGGATAGTTTCCTTGAAGGATTAATTAGTGACTACAATCAAAACAAACAAAAACACCACAAACCAACCCTGACAACTCTTAAATCTTTTCTACTTGTAGAGCCTCTTGTGATTTCCTAGTTGTGTTTTACCAGTTTTCTAGCCTGCAAGAATTTCTTCCCCCTAGATAACCCACAAGTTTCTAACATAATACTACATTGTAATCAACTGACATTTCAGTCAAGTTTCTTATCAAATATAAAGAAGCACAAACCAGAGCACAAACACAAAATTCTCTTCTCTGCAGTATCCTTAGGTATTTTTAATCCAACAGGCAGGGCAGTGTTCTTGTGTTCATATTCACAGATACAGGAGCTATAGCACTGACTGATAGAAAGTATCTTTACACAGTAAGTGGGCGACTGCTACTGGGCAGGTTGATGTATTGGCCGACCATCATACGGGACATGTCTACACCATGCTGCTGAACAGCAAAGGAGAGAATCCTGTCCTCACAGCAGCATTGCACAGGGTGCAGCACAATGCTGCACAGAGCCACCACATCAACAGATGCTGAAATTCTCCATGACGCACTCATCCCTCCAAAACTTGGTTCATCAGCTGTGACTGAAGGGTCCTCAGCATTTCAGCCCCTATTTCCCACATCCCTCCACCCGCAGCCAGCTGGGCAGTCAGACCTTACGTAAAGATATGCTTCCCAGTGGATGGGTAGGTGTTGTCATTAGACACTGGACATGATGCCTCCTACCTCAAGGGAGACAAGATGAATTGAGAGCTGATGACACACGTACCACCCACTCCCTTCCATTTAGGCAGGAACACACACACACACACACAGAGCTGGCTGGAGACACAGAAAGAGGGAAGATCAAACCTAGCTCCTTCAGCTGTGAAGAAAAGACCCTACAATGTACAGACAGGCAGCAGCCGATTAATCAGGCACAGACTGCAGCTCTCTTATCAGTATCATCTGCTGCTTTAGGAAAGGCAGAAAAAGCTGCTTAGGAGCTTGGGACTTCGCAAATATTATTTTTTTCCTTAACAGTTGTTCTCACTTATAGTAACCTCTCCAGATAGTCATGGAGATTTTAATGTTTCTTCCTTTTTCAGGAAGAGGAACTTAATGTAGTGCAAGAGGTGCATGTACAGCACTGAGGTTGTGGTTCTGCTCTTCCCATATCAAACTCCCTGATACAGCAGAGACCCTCTATCTCAGCTAGTCACTAAGAATGGAAATATGCTCTTGGTCTGTCCCACCATTAAAAAGACAATGCTTATAATCCTGGCCTTCTCACTCCGCAGACTGAAATGCCAGCAGGGAAGCTCCTATTTTTAACAAAGCGATAGACATCACCATGTGGAGTAACATGCCACTTCCAGTTAGATTATTTCCTTCACAATGATGAAAGCTAGAAACTTCCTTTACAAAATGTAAACAAACCAAAGTTTAGATTCTGCCTATGCTGAATGAGGCTCATAAATGCATGACGGAGGCCAGATACAGCCCACAGGGCATATGTTTGACACCTCTGGCCTATATGGACAGGAAATGGTTATAAATAATCAGTCCCATTTCAGTTCTCTGAAGACAAATATTTTTGACACAGAGTGCTCAAGCACAAAGAGTCATTTGTAGACCACCTAGGAGACTTGCATTTAAATGACCTTTCTTTGCTTGCACGATCAATTATACTAATGTTTATTTCACAAGTTGCAGCATTTGTTCTTAAATGGAAGCAGCCCAGAGGAGCCAAGTACATAATCCCACTTACTTGTTGGTAACTGCCTGCATAAACTCATCAATCAGTTCGTCGTACTGTTTCCCACGAACCCTCTTGTGTTTCAGTCCAATATAGAGTGGATCACTCAGGAGAGCCTAGGACACAAAGCAATCCTGTTCACATCTTCTCTTCCACAGATGAACGGAGATTTATGTCCCAGCCTACCCAGAAAGTTTGCTGTTGTGGTCATACTAATTTTACTTACTATGCAGTGAAGGCCAGCTCACACAGCTCTTCCTGAGCGGAAAGTGTTTCCATAAGAAGCTATGGACCATCTTTTTGTGTAAATAAAGTCGGAAGGATGTAATGCTTCTTGACTGCTGTAGGAAATGGAGCTCTGCATCCCCAGAACAGCTCTACCACAGCTCCCTGCCAAGGTGCCTCACTCCTAGTGAATAAAACTGACCTTGTGTGGGGAGTGCTTACTGTTCAATCTGTTCTTAATTTTGCACTGAGGTTACCAGGAAAGCTGTTGACCATAAACAGCGCTTTGAGCAATGAAGATCGCCTGAAGTAACCTGAAATGACATGTGTCATATAGGCCTTTAGGTGCCAGCCCTGAGCTAACCAGAACAAGTGATGAGATGCCAAAATGTTCCCAAGCCCTGCACCTATCCAGCACTCACCTCCAGTTATCTGCAAGGTATCTGCCTGTCAAGGCAAGATATTTTCATACAACAGATTAGTTTATTTTTTGACTCCTGTTGGGAATAAAAAACCAGGCCATTCCTCCAACCAATACAGCCAGTGTTAAGGCAGGACGCCTAAGCCACCTAAAAAGGACTGGGTCAGCATGGAAACAACACATATTTTGGGAAAAATCACAGGACAAGCAGTGGCAGGAGACAGGTGGGCCAACACCTCTGTGAGTCACTGCAAAGCAACTATACTTCCCTTCCAATTTCAGGAACTGAATCATCGACATAAGAAGGCGACGAGCCATTACAAACCTACTGTCCTGCAGCCATATGGGCCCTAAATATTGGCAGGTATGCTAAAATTAGATCTGTTTTTACAACGGCAGCTGTTTTCCCTTAGAAGGAAAGATGAAAGAGGTTTTCCTCTGAGTTTGATACATTAACTCTTCAGAGCCACAAAACAGAAAGCAGACCCATTTGCATTACTTCACTGATTGCTCTTATAGTGTCATGTGCCCTGGGGCCGATTCATGGAGTATAAAATTCTCCCATAGGCAAGCTGAGAAATGCCAAGCTCTGAAAAAAGACCAATTTGCTGAAAGAGTATACAAAGTATTATGGACTGTCAGAAAGACAAGCTGGGAATTGATGCTAAAAATATAATACGACTGCTATATTTACTCCATTCTACCTGAGGTGCCTGTGTTAGGAACACAGTCACCCTAGGCTCAACATATATTAATAGGCAGAGATGAACAGGATGAATGCCTACAGGAGGTGTCTTATTTCTGCATTGGTAAGAGTTTAGTCGTGGGGCAGGATGCTCGTAGGACGTGCTTAGGGTTGGGTTAAGCTGGGTTTATGCACATGAGAAAGCCATTAAATAAATAAACAAATTATTTATATTGTGAGGAAATATATGGTTTATATTGCTGGAAAACAGCAAGTTCTATATCTTAATCCCAGCTGTGGAATTGGCTTCACAGAATTGTTCCTGGACACACAAGCTACACTTGACCTTGGGCAGAATGAAAGTCCCCAAGACTGACTCTGGGAGTCCCTTTCTTCGACACCATCTGACCCTTGGAGATGCCTAAAAATCTTTGGTGCCACTTTGGATTTTAGTGTCCCCCTGGATGCTGAGATAGAAACAGATGGTCATGCATGGTCAGAGGCTTCCCATGGAAAGGGAAGCACTTACACCCAGGTCCCTCTGGAGGGGAGCTCCAGCTGGGGGGCTCAGAGCATGCTGACCCTTGGTGGTATGCAGACCAGCATGGACAAGAAGGAAGAAATGAAGGAGCCAAAGTAAAGTACAATGCTCTATTGACTGGAAACTCCAAGAAGTGAGAGACTGAGACTTAATTCGTGCTTTAGCCTCAGAGGATCTGAACTTAGAGATCCCACTTTTCAGGAAAGACCGTGGATCAGGCTGAGATGAGCACACCCTATATTCCACAAGTCCATGACAGGCCACTGTGCTAAAGGGATAAAATAATCCTGGGACAAGAGACCAAAGAGGTAATTGGGAATCTCATCCCAGGTGTCATCTGTGGCCACTTATTTTGCTTTCTTTCATTCTTTTCAAGTGTCCAATGTGAGACACTTGATCTGGAGTGAAAGACGTGCAGAAAATCTTGCTTTCCAGTGAGCATAGGCATGCCTGAAAACGTCGGCACTCATTTGTCTTCATACACAAACTCAAAGCTCTTATACCCCAGATTTGTTATTTCTCTCAAGAAACATGTGTTTGGTTTACTTGGGGTCAAGTGAGGCACAAGTACATTTTACAAAAATGGACAAACCCGGGCCATCACAAATAACTATAGGATATTCATTTTAAAAAAGACATCCTCACAGATGTCCATTCTGGCATTGCTAAGATGTTGCACTTCGTCCTTTCTGAGCCAGAGTCATAAGGCAAAAATCTGCAAGCAGATGGAGTCCTCTTGTCTGGTTATCATGTGCAGTAAAGTGTGCAATCTGACAAAACACTGAAATTAATCATTCCCAAACCACCCACCAGGGATTCTCCATTTTCTGGAATACAGTCACCTTTACGCAGACACGAGTATCTGCCTGTTTTCTCACAATTACCAGAGGAAGAATAAATCTGGGACTTCCTGTACAAAATCTTTAAACTCACCTTGCCATGCTGACAACACTCTGAGTCTTCTCACCAGGGGACCATGAGGCTATATAGTGTTTATTTCAGTTCCCCATGAGAGTAAAAGTTTCTTGAGCATCAAACAGGAATGAAACCTGCCCACTTCCCTGCAGTGCTGGTCTAGCCATCATCTCATCTTGGATGTCTCTGGCTTTGACTCCACATTCAGGGAACTGGCCTCAGTTAAGCTTTAATCTCAATTCTTTCCCCCCCCGTCAGATTTATGAAAAACTGTCTTACCTCGTTGTCTGTGCCAACATCCAGCAGGACAGGGAGACACTGTTGTGGGTGAACTCCACCACAAGCTGTGTACAAAGCAAGCTTCCCCACTGGGATACCCATGCCGTAACTTCCTAGATCTCCTAAACCGAGAATCCTCTCTCCATCTGTCACCACGATAGCCTAGAAGGATCAAAAGATACTGTTGCATGGTAGGCTCTAGAAGCAAAACCAGCTCCACTGTCTTCACACTGATGCTATTTTGCAGTTGCATTGTGCAATAGATATTTGCTCCTTCTACATGATACCATGTTAATTAGCTGTTAGCGATAGAGGGCTGTTCATTTTTGGGGATAGAGATAATGTGGTTGATGGGTAGCTGCTCGCAGTGTGGGAGAGCAGCAGCTCTGCTTGCCAACACTTCAATTCACTTGCAGCAGAGCCCAACCAGCATGGCTTTTTGTGCTGTATCACAAGAAGCATCACAAAAGAGATCTGGCCTTGATTTTTCCTCTCTTTTTCTGGAAAAAGAGCTCTGTACAAAAGTGTTTGTGCTTATGAAGTGCACCTGCGTAAGTAACAAGCTCATGTCTTCACCCTGCTGTAGAGTAGCTGTGGAGCAGCCAACATCAGAATATCAAATCAAAACTCATTATAACTGGGTCACTTTGCCTCTGGTCCCCCTGACTGCAAGGCAGGCAGGCAGACAGAAGCCATCAGCACAGGCAGCAGCGTGGACTGAGGAGAGGTCCCCACACTATGTATTTAATATTAGACCTTTTTTCCCACCCAGTTGTGAGTTAAAAAATTGCTATTTAACTCTTTGTGCAATTGGCCTTTTGCATTTCAGCAATACTGTAATGTGCTACCTCACCAAAATCTCTGATCCTTAATTTTATTTTTTTCTTGTTATTGTATCATTTCTTTGTGACAAGAAGGGAAATAAAAGCCTGCTTAATATTGTCCAAATTAGAAGCCTAAAGTTGAGCTGTTCAACCCACACTGTACATCACTGAGACCTTAGGAAGCAAATGACCAAGCAGATCTAATTAAAGTTCCCAATTTTTAGGTTAACTACTCCGTTTGTCGGTTTTGTCCCCAGGGTCAGGCATTCTTTGGGGCAGTTCTGAAATCCAGTAAGAACAGGAATATACTGGAGTCCAGTCCCACTGGGGGAGAAAAGCTGTAAATACAATAATAAACTTCAACTTTCAGCACCGTCCCAGCACTTGAGAGAACAGAGCGCTCACATCAAATGGTTTATCAGACTGCAGGGGACTGAAGTGCACAGTCTAGCTTGGATTTCAAAGGAGAAGACCGCAGAGAAGTTCTTTATTTGCTGATCTGCAAAGTTAAGGCTAAACTTAGGACACAGGACATACATAGGCGTGTGCTTTAGTAAGAAATAAGAGAATGGGAGGTTATAAGCTATCTCAATAGCTGTACTTCCTTGGGGGGGGATAATAAAGATGCATTGGTTTATTGCTGCGATGGAGACGCATTTCGTTGTTTAGGAATGGAATAAACCTCTTGCTGCACTTTCCTATTTCAGGAAGAATCATATTCATCTGTTTCAGTGTCCTTTCTTATTCAACATAAACTATATACACACCCCAAGGCTATTTTCTCCCTCAACCTAAACCACTGTTTGTAACGGCAGAGCAGAATTACATTACATTGCATAGTTCGGGAATAAGCCTGAGGAGAAACTACAGATACAGAGGACACATGCATCTCTTCTGCCTTTTACACCTATTTTGCCCTCTAGCAAAAAAAACCCCTCTGGTAGTTTGAGGCTTGATACATTCCAGGGTTGTAATGCACACAATAATGGTGACAACCAATATGTAATAGGTATTATTTTGAAATGGTCCTCCTCTCTGTAGAATATTGTCGTTGTGCTGTTGCCACTTTCTTGTCACTAGGAGTTCGAATTCCTAAAAGTGATCCTTCAATGAAAAATCTATTAAAACTAAAAGGACTATACACCTATCCTTAGGCTAGAGATTGGACAATCCCCGACATGGGAAATTCAGCCATGGCAGTGATACACTTATCCACCTCCATTTTTTAATGTTTTCCTATTTGTTTTTCCTTCTGAGGCAATGTGAAGTGTTAGCGATGGGAAAGTCTCTTTTCGGGTGGGCTCCATCTGTTTCTGGGTGTGCGCTCACTCCTTTGCTACACCCAGAGGATTCAATTGGGACTGGAAGGCAGTAATGGGAATGGGGAAAGCGGCAAGCATATGCACTGCTACAGGTTTATCCTGAAATGGATGCAAATTATATGAAAAGGAGTTAAAATCCTAACTATGCAGAGAATATGTTTTGTTTTTTTTTTAAATAATTAAATTCTAATGAATCAAAGTATTTCTCTGGAGCACAGATCCCCTTTCATCCAAACAAGGAAGTATTATCAGGCAAGCCTAAAAACTTCTTGAAAGCACTTAGATATCCATCAGAGAGAGAAAATTTCTTCAGCCTTAGATGTGCTGCACTCTATAGGTTCCAAAGCTCCTCAAGGGAACACTGAAAAATACAGGAGAACAGAAAATACAGCACGGGAGACATTCATTGCTGTCTGTATCAGAGAGGGGAAACTGGATTCACATCTGTTTGTGGCTCTTCAGATTAGAAAAACACCGAAAAAAAGCGCAAAGTTTCAGTGGGTACCTGATACACAAGCACATTAAAGTAATGTTTTTAATTGCTGACATTCATGTGATCAGAACTCAACAAACAGGACATTAATCTCTGGCTGAGCAGGACAGACTCTTCTAACTGAACCACTGGTTTAACAATTAGGAACCTGTTTTCTACTTCCAGCTGTGCTACAAATTTTCTTGATGACTCCAGTCAAGTCTTTGGCTAAAGGTTAGGTGTGCAGTTTAAGCCAATCATCTAACTGGTTTCTAAACTTCGTTGACAGCTGATGGGGAGAGACAGAAACCTCCAGAGTGCATCTCCTCCCTCCAGCAGCTGTTTTGGGAAGGGATGAAAGGGGTATTTCTCTTTGAAGATGCTCATCTCCCTCTTCCTTGATCACTGCAGAAGTACTCACAAGTTGAGATTAGGCACTGAGTCTTCAGGCAGCTGATGTTAACTGAGATGACTCTGGACCACAGGCTGTATCCAGTCAGCTGCTGTAGGTAGCTAGCCCCGTTTTGCAATGCCTAAGTAGGAGACGTCTGGCCCAGCAGAGTGATCCAGAGCACTACGCTGATCTCCAAGCTGCCGAGGCAATGCAGAGAGACAAGTGCCACTGTTGGCATTCCAACTTCTCTGTATTGATTGCACGAGGTCAACCTTTCTAGGATGAACTAATGCTCTGCCTTGAGTGCACCAACAGAAAACACTACATGGAAGGATGAGTCTGAACAGCCCTGTATAGCAGTAATCCTGACGGGGATTCAAGATGCTGAGTGCACTTCTCAGGGTGAACATCCTATGCAAGGAGGGAGGGAAGTAAGGTAGGAAGGCCAGTTCAGTAGCTTGCAGGACAGCATACTTGTCTAGGAACAGGAGATACGGTTTCTATATTACCCTCCCTTTGAGGTAATTTGAACCCATAGCTGTCATTCCCCAGGATGACACCCTACCACAACACTATCCTGTATGATTCTCTGCATTCCTCCTGCTCTAGTTGGGCCATCATACAGAAAGGAGTACAAGATTAAGGAACCAGAGAGAAAATTAGCAAGGGGAGGCACTGATGAGGGCAATCGACATTTTATCCAGTGTTTCTTCAGGGCAGGATTCATTAGCCACCCTGGAAGAGACACAAAAAACCACACTCCCACATGGGTATGCTCAGAAATGGCTGCTTCTCACTCATTCTGCTTCCAGTGCTCTGATTCTTTCAGAGCAGCCCAGCTTCAACAGGAGGGGTGGAGGTGGGGCACATCGGAGCTTGGCAGAGGCTTTGCTAAGCTAAGCAGAGCACCCTTCCAGCCCTTCCAGGCAGAGGATGCAGGCCTACGACCCAGATTTCCCATTTCCACAGTAAATGCTGTTGCCGTGAACCTCTAAGGAGCCACAAAGCAAAAGGTGGGGCAGCATCTCCAGGTATTTCTTCACTGTCTTTAATGGGACTTACTCTCGTTGGTGTTCAGTGTGGTCCAAGCCTATTCAAAAAACTGGGTCCCTCCAGGGACTTAGGTGAAGTCCAGGTGCCTCCCTATTTATCTAAAAATCTCAAGTGTTCCAGTGCCTAGCAGTTCAGGCATGGAGAAGTCTGTACAAACACACAGGGAACACTGTGGTCCAAAACAGCGATACTGATGAAATTAGCTGCCTTTGTAGTCTGGCAAACCTGGATAGTAGATAGTCTGAATCTCTTCCATGGACCACTGCCCTTCCTATGGTCTGTTTTGGGTGCCAGAGGAGACTGTTTCAACAACAGTCTCTAATCTTCCTGTGCCAGTTTCCCCATCTGCAAAAACATCTCTATTAGCCATAATGACTTCTGCTCACAGTCCTGAGTCAGAAACAAATGGAAATACTGAGATCTTTGGACAGAGCAAGGACAAAGTATCTAGTTTGCATCTGTTCTCCATGGTTCCAAAGACAAGGTTATAGGAATATGATTACTTTTTCTGGAAACATGTTAAATCCCTTTTTTTTTCCTTAGAAATGGAAAATGCTTGCAAGATTTTCTCAGTTGCCAAACCTTTGTTCCTGGAAGAATCAGCTAACTGATAGGGGACCAAAGCTCTGTCAATAGCCAGGGAAATTCCCAGGCACATGTACTTTCAGACTGATGGAAGGAGGTGACTGGCAAGACCTGTTTTAAGTGTTGACTTTATTTCAAGCCGGGGACTTGCCCAGCCCCGAGCTCTAGTGAAAAACACTTCACGAGATCACTTTTTGGGTGGAGTGTCAGTAATATTTTCAGCTGCTGGATATCAAACATTATTTGCAGAGTTGTCAGTGTTCTGGATGCTGCATGACTCATTGGATTTGGGAAGGAGTCCTAGAAGCAAGTCAGCTACAGAGATATCTTAAAGAGCTTTGGTATATCTAACAAGTTGCGAGTTAGCCACAGAATTCTTCAATACACATATCTTACTTCTTCGCTAGGACCTCTATTTTGTACGAATTTATTATCATGCATGCACTTTTTATTGCCCGAGGTTCTGCTACTTTTGATAAAGATGTTCTTGACCACACACACACGTAAGAGAGTCTCTGAAGTCCAACGACTAGCCTGGAAACTCTCTGAGGAAGGGAATATTTCTTAGCTTGTCCTTTTAAATAGGCAATTCTGTAAATAATGCCAAGCAGTTCCATTTAATATCCCATTTTCCACGCAACTCCCTGTAATTTCCCAGTCCACAGATTACATGCCACATACCTTAATATTTTCTTCAGGCCAAGAGTTTAGCATTGTTGCAATATGGCCTTTATCATGGATGGTGATAAACAACCCCCTAAGAATAGAAAAAAAAAGAAGAAAAAGAAGCCTTGTCAGAAAAGTAATAACTCCAAGATAAAATAAAACTGGTGAAACTTGAAAATGCAGGGAAATGAGCTACTGAGCACAAACCCAGGCTATTCACTGCCATGGAAATGAGACCTCAAGGGACTGCTAATAACAAGTTTAGTTCTCATTTCAAAACCCCAAGGCTCAAGATCTTTAATGGCAACTTCAGTCAACAGCCACTGGTGTTGCACATTTCACCCTTGTGAAACATCTTTGTTTCGGGGGGCAAACTCTGCTTTAGTGCAGAAGAGCTTTCTAGTCAAAATAACTCTGATAAATGCAGGGGAGGCTGATGTTTTACCTTAAACCTTGTTACACATTCTTTCCCGGGGAGCTTATTGGTGGCAGTTCAAACAGTGAAAGCATGATCCTTCTCACCCAGCTACCAATGTTGACAATGTGGATGGCTATTGCAGAGGTAGACATTTTGGGATCCCTCTCTAGTCAACAGAGCTCCAACCAGATGCAATTAGATCAATATTTGCCATGGCATTTGCTTTGACCAAGCCAAACCTGCCCTTGCAACACCATTTTCCCCACTGAATATCTGACCCCACTTTTTGACACTGGCGTTCACCAAATGAAAACCACCAAAAATTATTAAGAAGTGAAACAGAAAATTAAATGTTTGGATGAAACCTCAATGTGAAGTATTTGCATGGACAATAGCACACCTGATTGTACTACAGCTAATCACTTCTCATAGAATCATAGAATCATTAAGG